GACGCATATGGGGGCTGACAACTTGGAAGGTTATTTGCATTGAATATGAGACGCCAGCACCGCTATCACCACAGTCGCTGCCGCTGCTTTACCTATGACGACATGGAAAGGCACGCTTAACCTTTAGAGCGACAACTAGGTACACTTGTGCGTAGGCTACCTTTTTCGGCCACGAGCAAACCCTTTCAGTGAACCAGCCCGACTAGACGGCCGTTCCTTCCTGTGCCTTTGTTCGGCCCCGTTCTTCGGCTAGCACCTCACGTCGACTGCATCGTAGTAGCATAGTAGTATGGAGTCAAGTACGGCAGTGAAGTGATAGAGCATATATTGACCTACAAACTTTCCGAGATACACTCAAACACGCATACGCATACGCACATGCGCGGACTGCTAGACGCATGCTTTTCTTAGAGGTGCGCAAACTTCTATAGGCCCCTAGAGATACCCTCTACGACCTCATTGTCATAGCTCTGAAATGTAAATAAAACTACGAATAGGTAGTCGTTCACGATCGGGCCACGAGCGGCGTGTGAATACAACGCCACCGACTACTACGCGACGCCCATGTAGTTTACACAGTTGTTGCCCTATTCGACGGACGACGCCAGCTTGTAGCTAAACACCACCCCCCGAACTCCTCTAGGACAGTTCCATTGCGATTGGAATGCTCAATGATTGGAGCGAATATGCAGAAAACACGCAACAGAGGCATATTCGAGACCACCAGAATATCTCGTCTCCTTCGCTGCCCACATTTTTCACATAATGGCAAACAAGTAAAAATTGCGATACGATACGCACACGTACAGATTAAATGCAAATGGCTCCGTCCTGTTGGGTTACTATTTTCAATCACCCCATAACGGTAAGTCTGTAAAAAGACGCTGATTACAAAGCAAAATATTGGTAGGCATGGCACTTCGTAGGCAAGGAAAAAATGTTTTCCTTATCTTGAGAGTGTTCACCTGGAAATAGTACGATCTCAGAAACGATCGGTGCTCGCTGTTTTTAAGCTCATTTTAGCGTATAATTAACCGAAAAAGAAAAAAAAGTAGTAGTAGTGGTAGTAGACGTTGAAGCCATTCATCTGGCCCAGTGAAATGAAACGTTCCTTAATAGCCGACCATTAATCTGTAGTTTGGGGACCACTATAACGTTTCGCAGTCGCCCGTTGATTGACCTTGAGGTCTAGCTAGTCCGTCCAACTAGCAAAAAGTACCCATAATCCTTTACTTGGTTATTTAATATGGCGAACACGTACTCGTGTCTTGTTCTCTGTTTACCCCATACGCATTGCGTAGAATAGGACGGTAAACGATACACGTATTTCACAGAAGCTTTTCGCATTTCGTCTACAACTGCAAAGATCATATAGAACGTGGCAATGCAGTGCCTGCCAGTCGTTCGGTAAGCGACCTACGTAATGGAGCCAGACAGTGGTGGTGTCCTATTCCGAAAGCGAAGGGCAGCGCAATCCCCAAATTCTAAGTAACCTGACCAGCTCGAAGAAATTGGGATGGCATAGGGGCGACGCTTTGATCACCGAACGTTCCAAAGTAAAATCATATCAATGGAACGCTCCAAACTGGATAAGATGCTACCGTCAGGATCATCGCCGAACGTTCAAAATGTCTGACTGGAAACTGAAAGCGTTAATTAACCTGTGATATAATTCCACGTACATTAAAATCTTCGGTGCAATGGACTTGTGTTGGCAGCTACTGCAGATGGGCTAGCCAACCAAGGAATTACTATTACAATAGATTTATTAGTTAAAGTCAAGAAGATTGAAGACGCACCATAAGAAGAATAATGTAATCGACGTAAATTATATAAATGTTTTTTTATAAGAACCGTATATATGTGTATATACGGTTTTTGCGAACTCCGATCTAGCTAACACCTAAATAATCGTCTATTCTATAAAGAATAAATGGCCCTAATTTTTGCTTGAAAAGTTTGATCGCACCAAGTTTTTATAGGTCGCGAAGTACCCCAAGATACTAATGACAAATTAAAATTGACAAAATCGTTTACGGCTTTTTCGAGTAGCATTCTGCCTGTCTTTACGAGGCACAAAAGCAAGAAAGAAGGTTGCTTTTGAAACATAGTAATATTATGTTTTATTATTATTATTATATTATTAAATAATATGACGATAATTGATATACGTGTTGCTCAACTTTTGTCTAAATCCTATAAAAATAGATTATTAATGGATAGTGGCAACTGATCTTTAAATCCGTCTTTTGCATCATCATGTACGCTTTTGATTAATTTTATATATTTAACGAAACTGTTGAGGAAAACGTTATCGAGTTACTATGTAACAAAAATCAATACCACCATGTTGAAACGCATGTTTTAATCGAAGACATACTGCAGTCAGGCTGATCGAATGATAACGTGGGCAAGCCTCGTAGGATTTACAAGATCCTAAATCCTAGACTTAACCTAAGCGCTAAACCTGGCCATACCATTAGTTTCCAGTCCTAATCGTTGTTTTCCAATGCTGGTAGAAATTCTGTGGGTTACTCGCACGGCCATTCTTCTACATGCGCGAACTAAGCCACGAAAAAAAGTTAAGTTTAAATGGTGAACTTCACCGTTTACGCAACGTTACGGTTTGACCGAAAAATCTCGCAAAATGATCGCAATGTTCATTAAAGCCTTTGAATTTGAATTTTTGGTAAATAGGATTATTGTTCAGTGCTAGCAGTTAGAAACGGTATACGTTACGCTATTACTGTGTTATGTTGATGCGACAAAATGATACAAGCGAATTCTAAAATGTAATAGATTGAGGCGCATATTGAGGCCAGTCGAATGCAGTTCATAAGAAAAGTACTGAGCGAAGTGACTGAAACGCATCGTATGTGCACGATACGAGAAAAAAGGACATCCAAGGAAAACCAGAGTCCATAGCATTATATATCCAGTCGTTAAATTTATTCTCTCCTACCAACTGATCCATCGTACTAAAAGTAGGTTGCTGCAAAAAGCCCGATGGTAGCATTTGTGAAGTAATCAATGCGATCGATCAAAGACTATAAGGAAACAATGAACTGAATATGATATTTGACGCAAGCTATATTAGATACTCACAAACACAACAACCAGGATATATTCAATCCTGCCATATGAGGGCCTCGTATATTATCAAAGGGAGAGAGGCTGAAAAACACTGAAACTACGTGCAATATGTAAGAGCATTCAGCTAATTATATATACGAGGGTAATTTCTGCTTCTTTCGATCTTATCCGTTTGTCTTCCTTGCCAAATGCGAGCTTATGTTGCAGGGTGGAAGAGTGTAGAGGGCCAACGATACGTCAGATCACGACCTATTGTCAATGAAAGTATTGATGACTCTCGGCACAGATCTTTGGGGCTTATTGGAGATTAGCAGTGAATATGTGCTTGTTTTGTCAGTTACCTTTCACTATACAATAGTAATACAGTGACGATAAGAAAGACAATATGTGCAGTGGAAAAAGCCCTTAAAAGGGAAGGGGCTTAACAGATCTAGGACAGGTGTCTTTTTAGATTGATTGTTGGCATGTATAAGCCGTTTGTTTAGAACAGGTCCCCCCCACTATTGCCAGTGTACTGTTGTATGGCTGCAACAAATTGGTCCGGCCAATTGATCAGGTCGGGTAGATATAAAGAAAACAGAACATTTCGATATCGCTATACGGTTAACTTCAATAGAACTCTACAACGACGCATATACGACTGCACTCGTGGTTCGAAAATGACGGAATGGTCATGAAAGCGCACAATGTACAAATGGCACTTTTGGAAATTCGTCCCGGGGCTACCATCAATCAGAACAGCAAGGGTAAAGACGCTTTGGAATGGTCGATTGGAGAAGGTAAAACAAGAACGAACATTCCTGACATAGACAAGTCTGTCGCGTCGGACGCGTGTCACAGTTCATCAAGGATCTCGTGACTGATTAACTTAGTCTAAGTGGCCATAGTAACTTAGTTTTAATCGACACAGTGCGTGATTAACGTTGAACACAAGTTAGTAAAGTACCACCTCGAAAAAGAAGAGAACACACAGCTAAATCGGTGAATCAAGATCAAATCCATTTCGCTCTCAGGGTTTATTGCAAAATTGTCTGCTTAAAATGTGATAATGAAGACTATGTCAGGAAGTTTAAATATTGCTAGATACCTTGCAGAGCTAATGGACTGATCTGGCCTCTAATCGCTTGATAATTCGAACCCTTATTAAAGCATGCAAATAACAAGCAACAACTAAGTTAAATTTTAAAAAAAACTCTGTTATTACAACGAACACTGACGTGATACTGCTTTGTTTACAATCTGAATAAGCAGATAAATAAACCCGTACACTTTCTGACGCATACTGTTTTCAACTATACGTATCAACAATGCGTAACTGATCTGTGGCAATTATTTTTTTGACGTAGATTTTTCATTATGTTTTAATGGCGTAACACGTGTATAGCTTCTTATAACTATCAGAGTGGCGTATCAGGCTTATATATATATTAAACAACCGCATATTTACATACATTATTATATATATACATGTATATGTACACCAGCAATAATCGGGCATTTAAGAAGCAATTATTGTCTTTTGGAAGTATCGATATTTCATACGGGCCTTAAATAGGTTAAAATAGGCGTACAGCTTTGCACTCGCTCGTGAATTTTCTCCTTAAGCTATCAAATGACTTGTGTCCATCCCATATACGGGGTGTATCGTTTAAGGAGAGGTTCTGTAGGTTGTTCTCGACTCGTATATCTATTTTAACCTGTTTAAAGGCTGTATCTGTAATACCGATAATTGGAAAAGACGATAGCTTATAAACCCCATTTACCGTTTATGTATGTATACAGCCGTTTATATATATATATATATATATATATATACTCACCACAGTCCAGTAATTTAGCATTGTGACAACAACGGTTTTTTGACGAATTGCAGACTGTAGAGAAACGTAGCGACCTGATTGGCTTACCTGAATGAATCCTCTGTATGTACCCGGTCACATACTCCAAGATGACAAACAAGGAAGCCAGAACAAACGACACGACCTGTTCCACAACGAGTGAAGTCAAAAGCAGACGGAAATGATACAGCATGCCACTCATACGAACACAATGGAATATAAGGTGGAGAAAGTGAGCAAGGTATACGACAAGGTTCGAAACAATGTCCGACAGATGTTAGCAGTAGTTCCACTAAAAGTATCCGTCGCTGCGCGCGCGATTTAGGTTATGCAAAAAGATGTCAATCTTCAAATGTCTGAAGCCAGCCTTACGCCCAAATATAATCACACAAAAATTTTGTTCGTATCTGTACATTTACTCTATATGCGGATGCCTATTCACGGCACTTCTGTGTATAGTTTGATGGCATTGATTATCGAGTTAAATAGATTGACTAGCTCATGCATTATGGCTGTTGAGCCTGTCGTCAGCAAATAACGGTACTCACTCGTGCAGCGAAGCTCGATGTAGTTGCTACTCCGGTGAACTCCCAATAAGAATTGATGGTCGTTTATATACTATATATACGGTTCATGCTTTAACAAAATCCTGAAAACATTGATTTAGCTGAAACAGTTATAGTAGCTTCGTCTAAGTACGCACCTCAACATCAGCATTGAAGTCATCTGCGATGAATCGCTGTCGACTTCCTTTAACGTCCATGACAGATATCTTGTGTCTTTCGTAATTTCTGTCCTTGTTTTACCCTTTTGGAACTTAAACGTCGCGAACACTATGCCGTTAGCGAAGCCTAGGCACGCCCTTGTTTCGCCTACCTTCACATCGAACAAACGCAAAAAACTATTCCTCGAAGTGCAACGAAGATGCTATTAACAGGACCACCATGATCGCTGGCCGAGCGAAATCGTGTGAATTGTATGTCTTGTCGTTCATTTATCTGACTGTTTCTCAACTGGCTTGCCTGCTGATTCGTTGTTGCTCTGAGAACAGCTCTCGGATCAAGAGGATTAAATCTGCAACGCCATCCAGCCCCGTCCCATTTCGGCCCATCGAGCTTCACTTGGGGACCTGTGTCTTCGGCCTATCGTGTCTTCTCATCCGTCTGCTTTCGTCCGGACTTGTTAAAGGAGATTCCTGTATAATTGAAGTGGGTATGTAACACTAGAGGGTTGGGAAGACTGCAAAAGAGCGTTGAGAGAGAGAAAAAGTGATTTAAATAGAGACTTACAACAGTCTGTATATGTACGATACACATCATTTTCTTGAAACTGCCCTGTGTCCCGCTTTCGCCATATTTGTACGGAGGCACACTTCCGGGCTTCAACGGGTCCTCGCGGATGGAGCGGGGTACAACAGGAGGAGGCTGATCGTCTACGGCACACAAATATTCTGTTATGATTAACTGAATATTTGCTTAGTATTATACGTTCGCACGGTGTATGCATAAACCGTAATTACTATATATATACATATATATGGACATTGATCTATATACAGGTTATTTACCGTTCCGGATGAACATAGATTTGTTCTGGCGGTGGATGATCGCTTAAATCTGATTCCAAATCAGTACTTATTAAAAGTGAGCATTTTCTATAGGTATGATATAAATAATTATTTATCGTAAATATGAAACGTAAATGAAATATGAATGGAAATGAATCTTTAAGAACTTGGTTATAGAATACGTTATATTGCGAAATAAAATGTTTGGTCTAGGAGAACTCCTCAGTAGATACTACTAGGATGATAAAAGCAGACCTTATTTAATGTATACTTTCTATTGTTACGTGATTGGAAGCTTCCCGGGAGTTGCAAAAGAATGGTTGCCATGTGGAAAGATTCTGATATATAAGAAGTTTCTTGCGACATCTATGTCAATGCCACAAATCAGTAAAATGATTTATTTTCTTAGCCTAACCGTTGAAAAAGGAGAGTCTCAGTGACCCACAATTTGCCTTTCATCCTAGTGCCGCATCGGGTTACGTGTTACGTATAAAAAAATATAGGCATATTAAAAAACTATATCCTAAAACTACACCGCTGAGCACGCTTGATATATTTACTTGCTAACCTGTGGTCTAAGTTGGCTCTTACGATATTTCCCGCTGTCACAAGGTCATCAGATTTAAACCTTTCATCTATTTTGACATAAACCTACCTAAACTACTGCGTTTTTATTCAGCTTGTTTTAAAATCACAATTAAACATGGGCTTACTCCTTTGTCCTAGCGTAAACAGACCTTTTCACCAGACCCTACGCAGTTCAGCTTTGCGAATCTTCCTGTGGGCACGCTGCTTCTGACTTTACGGTACATTCAGCGGGTGAGAGACCCCAGCCCCCAGGCCGATCTGGTCAACGACAATACCCCATTACTTTTATCCTAGACCAAGAGATCCCCGTCGGCCTGCTTGGCTGAGAGTGAGCAAAAATAAGTGGGAGTCCTAGCGTATATATGTGCACTGCCTAAAGAGTCGGGGAGGGGGTTGTACGCTTGCTAGTATATCCGTCTCTGTTTCCTTGTGGGGCGTACAGAATCGATCAAGTGTCACCGTCAGAGCTTAGTGCTCTCTGCTTCATACTCAAGTCTTTTCCTGTGCAGTCTCATCTGGCCCTGGGCCTTCTACCCAGAAAAAGGATTCCCTAACCCAACGGACTCCATGTGCAGCCATCCAACGCTTACGCCGCTAAAGCCAGCTAGGCCAAGGTACTCCGATGCCTAGAAACCTTGCAGAACAGCCACCATTACACAGGCCACGCAGTGGCAGGCGTACCAGCCGGGCTGGTGTTGGGCTGAGCCAGACGGAGCATCAACGAAGCAGACCAAGCCCGAGCAAATCACACGACAACACGATTGGGGTTTGCTAGTAAGATCGCACATTGATGGTCGTCTAACGACCAGTAGACAGGCACAGGTACGAAACTGACGGAGGAATGGATGTTCCGCTTTTATTCTGGGCTTGCCAGCTGCTAGCGTCTGGGTAAAGGCGAGAGGACAGCTAAGGCTGTTTTCTTGCCATAAGAAAGTACGTGCCTACGTAGACCGACAAAAGCTACCGGATAATAATGAATCTACTCCCGATATTGCCAGCGGTCCGTAGCAGAACTGGACTGATCAGTGTAATAGCTGCTGTCTTACAAAAATGGAGAATAGCAGCAAGACACACGCTTACCACGACGGCACGTGACGATGGCGAAAAAAAAACGATAAATTGAAACGGTAAAAAACCCAATGCGAAATAAACACAAACGACAAGAAAACTCGTGATGGCTAGAAAGATCTCACTGTAACTGAGCAACTGCCGGCGGCTCTACGGCCTACCGTGGTTAGACAGACCGGTTAAGGTAGGTGGATCCGCCGCAGATAAAAATACTGTGTGTATTAGGGACGAGCTTGTCGGTTAAAATACTATCGGAGGCACAAGCGTTGAAAAGTTGATTGTTCTCGCTCTTTTAGGTTAGCGGGGCGATATAGTCGCGCACCAATCGAATAGAGTGCGATGAAAACAGTCGAAGATCCGCTGAGAAATAAACAATATACCCACACCCGCTTTGCTTCGATCGGGATCCTTATCGAACGATCGCTTGCAGTAAGAACTAATAAAAGGGAAAAAGATATAGAAGGAGGGAAACGTGCATCATCGTTTTAAGAAGATCGAGGCTAAGGCGGTATGGAGTTTGAGGCTTTAAGTGTTTTACGTCGAATACATCTGTTTCGTTTGCCCTACAAAATGTAATATAATATAGTAATCGTAATTGGTTGCCGTCAATCTACGCACATAGATAGAGGCCTGGTGCTTCTTGAAGAAAGCACCAATGATTACAACTTCAAATTATGTATATTCGTGTTGTTTGTAGATTAATTTTTATCTCTTTATAATTATTTAAAAAATTGTGTTGTTTATTGGTCATTATTTGTATTCCGGATCGAATTTTTGTTTTTTTTTTTTGTTATTAGACGACCGTATGCTTTAAGCAACCTAGCAAATAACATAATACGGCCCAGGGTACAGTATGTGCGTTAGTTTCCTTAGTCAATTCTTTGCAGGGTACCCTTCTCTGATTGTTGTTACCAGCTGCACACTACTCATGAAGACAATAAACAGATGCTGTACACCTGTCCAAAAGATGACCAGTATATCATTTTGTGCAGGCCTGTGCGGCAATTCCTGCACAGTGCACACTGTAGCAGTATTGAGACATCACAATTAGCCATCTTCATTACTGTATATTATCTATGAATAGCTTATATACTCAGTCAAAGTGGAGATCATACCTGCAGGGGACGCTCAATGTAATTTCAAATATTATCGATCATCATTTGACAAGCAACGAAGGACACATAAGAAATTGGGCTTCTTCTTGCAAGCAAAAAGCAACGAAAGCTAACACGAACATTTATATCTATCTTTATTTTAGCGACAACGAGGATGGGGAAGCTTGTTTTTTTGAACGTACGTACATACATAAACTTCTTACAAAGTGAAATTTACCACAGACACCCAACGAAGTACAAATAAGCCTAAATATCTCAAATATGGATATTCTGAGCGAGCGGCGCATGTGGTCCTTATACGCAATGTCGGTAAGGTGACGATTCTATTATGCTACCAGAACACAGATATAATCGAACTCTCGCAGTCGATCCTGAGCGTGAGCTATGAAATACACATGCAACAACCCCCAATGTGTATTGTGGATTCTAATTCAGGGTTACTTGGCGACTGGCTCGTTAGTGTAGCGTTTGGTACCCCCCAGAAAGGCATAGGAACTAGAAAATCGGTTCGTGCGCAGCGGGACAAGGGACTCGTAGGCAGAATCGATACCTAGCGGCCTATATGACTGGTCGTCTGTGTACGCAGCTCAACGCACACGTTACAATCGGAATACATTATTGTTAGGTTAGGTATGCTGCATTTCGCATAGCTTCTTCGTAAACGATGAACATTCCGAATTTATTTGCGTGCATTATAACCCTGTTACACTGATAATGGGGTCGCTGCTTTGCAAATGGTCGTAACGGGAGCTGGTATTTTAGATCAACAACAGTTATTTCGATAATTTTTCGATAAAGAAATTTTACTTACATAAAGATATTATACATTAAAATTACTGTAATTCCGCATATTGAAGAGAGCCTTTGAAGTGCCCAGGTTGACGTGGTTGTCGTCAGCCGCCGTCCATTTTGTGCCATCCATATAATTATAGCTCTCGTAACACTCAATGTAATGTAAAAATATTTGAGCTGTTTTTATTCAGTGCTACGTAAAGGGAGGCCTTTAAGGATCTTAGCAGCTGGCGACATCAGCAGTTTATAATATCTGTTTCAATTTATAAAGGTCGATTTACCAATTTAAAGCTTATCAATTTAGTTTATATATTATAACACAATAAATGATATTTTCTAGTAATATTGTCACAAATGATATATTCTACGGGGCCAGGCAATAAAAGTGGAGGAGCATTTATTATGTATTATATTATAAGTGGAGGCCTTATTGTTTTCGTTACCTGCTGATTCTTCCAACAATAAATTTCGTACTTTATCCTATTTACGTTATGTTCTACACTTAAGGGCTTGCATGTATGGGTTAACTATCGAAATATGTTTGTAGTTTTTTCGCGGCTGGACTTCGTGAGGGAACATAATGGAAGAAGGAAACGCTCGGATAAGCTATAAAATACCGGAACATCCTAGATAATATAGATGTATGTGAGAAGGGAAATATCTTCTTTCGCCAGGCGTGTTAGAAAACAACTGATATAATTGTTCGATTTTTTTTTACTGATCTTGAAATTAATATCTTTTTGCCCTTGTATACAACTTCGTGTGTTGTTCAGGTAACAAATGTCCTCTAAAATTCATAGTTACTGATAAATGTCGTTGTTTTCATATTATTTGTTTGGTTCCTCAAGCGGCCTATTCTTTGTGAAAGTTAAGCCCAGTTTTACCTAATATTAACGATATACTTGTGAACAGAACGGTTGAAGCCAAACATAACTTCAGTTGAAGCGCAAAATAATTGACCGGAGAAAATAGAACACTTATGGCGAGGTAATGGCGTCATTGCGAACATTATCGTCTGACGTTTGAATTTAAGTAATCGAAGAGGAGGAACTGAGTCACTGAGAAATTCCAAAACAGGCTAAGAAGATGACTTAAAATACACAGTAGATTTAGTGAGACAGAGTAGTCAATGGTGGGACAAACGTCGAAAATTGCAGTGGAACCCTGATTTATCGTTCGATTCGTATATGGTCCGTCAGTGGCATATACTACACAAGAATTGCAAATAAATAGAAAAAAAAAAAACATATTTTAATAACTTTCAAGTCAATTTCGTCTTTTTCTGGGTCCATTAAATGCATT